CAACAATACTTCCATAACTAACACGTGGATTAAAGTAAATAAATGTGTATATACACTGAGAGATACACACGTCTCGGTGTGTATACACTGAGAGATACACACGTCTCGGTGTGTATACACTGAGAGATACTTCTCGGTGTACATATACTCTGAAATGCACATCTGTCAGTGTATATACTCTGAAAGACACACCTCTCGGTGAATATACACACAGATAAATCACCTCTCAGTGTATATAACCTGTATATATACACTGTATACAGTGTATATAACCAAGAACACTTTTATTTATATATTTATTAATTTCACCTTGAGCTAAATAACAGACGCGGGTTTATTGTTTCTTAGAATAATAATAATAATAATAATAATAATAATAATAATAATAATAATAATAATAATAATAATAATAATAAGAAGAAGAAGAAGAAGAAGAAGAAGAAGAAGAGGAAGGAGAAAATACAACGTAAATCATTGGTAATAAAATAATATAATAAATCAGAATATAAGTTTGATAACATCACATAAACCACGTGTTTCAATTCTTTTTTATTTTTAAAACATGAATAACCATGTTTAACTCTGCAAACATATAATGAATAAAAATAAAGATTATAAGTAAAGTTCCGTCCATCAGTGTTGTGCAGCAGCAGCAACAACATAGTGAATCATTCCTGGAGTCTTCAGGGAGCCCACAGTGATGTCTTTGTAGTTATATGGGAATCCCAATTAGTAACGTTACCAGCGTGATAATATATGATATGATAATATATATATTTGCTCTCAGCTGTTAAAATCATCAGATAGGCTGGAAATGCTTGGGGGAAACAATGACGCCTGGTAATTATTCTCATGTAGAAGGTCGCTGTCAGACACAGCAGAGGAATTTATTGAAAAGATAAGGAGGATGCTGTTGGGGTGTGAGCAAAGTAACTTTTACGAAGGAATTCAGGAAAACCGCTTAGCCGGCCTTGAATCTTAGAGGTGGGAAGTAGAGTACCTGCACTCTGGTGGGGATGTTGCGGCCTGACATGTGATGTCAGACCGCTTCTGGGACGGCAGTGGTTGAATGAATGATGCTGAAAGTATTTCTTGCTTTTCGGATCACCCTACTTCGGTGGTAGACAGCTGGTGTATTAAAAAAAATAAGAAAGATAGCCAGCTGCCTTGACAAGCTTATAACTCCCATAACAAATCTTTCTCTTGGAGACACTACATTCAGACCACATGAGAGAATTATCAGGGACATAGTCTCCAACACTACACTCAGACCAGAGTCTCACTCAGGTACAAACAACAGTGAAGGTGAGGGAATGTTTGTAAGTTCATCTTCATCATTCAGGAAATTGATTGGGGCAATATAAACAATATAAACAATGAACTGTCAAACATTCTCCTGGAAACTGTAATGAGCACTCTAAACCCAAACCAGAGCGTGGGAAAGCCAGGTGGGAAAGGTCTGTTATATTCTACCAAAAATGTCCGAACAGAGAATCGTAAATAGTTATCACGTAAAATAATTTAAAACAGAAAGAAAAATGTTAGTAAATGGTTCAGCACAGAGGAAATATCACAACCAAGGAATAAAATCTACAACGAGAACTTACAGTTTTAGAGCAGAAAATAAAGTGTTCGTACCGGACAGAAGAAGAAGAGCAAAAAGCAATTTAAGAAACTAAGAAAGTTCAAAATACTTTTTCGATGTTTAATAAGCTAAGTCAAAAACTTCTAAAGAGATTCATGCACAAGTAACAGAAAAAAATGAAGGATGTGGTGAAAGAATAACATGAATCAATCTTCAGTGATTATATCGAATATGAAAATGGTAAACAACACAATTCCATAATCTGGAAGAATGTTCCAGACTACGGAGCAAAATTTCTCCAGGCTGAGGGACTGACCTCCTCAAAACTACGTCTTCAAGGGTGATGGACTATCACATCCGTCTTCACATCACTAATGATTCACCTGCTGTGTAGGCGTAACGCTTCGAAAATAAGATGCCTAACTGTTGCACATGTGTCATACTTATCAGTGATCGTATCGATGCCATGAGAGTTGAAGATGCAGGGAGACTTTTTTTCTTCACAAATTTAGCTGTCTATAAGCAACATATCTGACATTAGCACAAATCCTTCAGATTTCGAAAGGGAAGATGACTTCGAGCATATCCGTGGAGACCGCTGGGTCTATGATAAAAGTAAACCCAGGGTCAGTATACCACTGGGTATACTGGGTATATATCGGTGAAAGGTTATGACAAGTGATTACCTGTTTGCCTCGTGCCTTATTTACAACGAGGTAAACAATGAATTACCAAACTCAGTGTACATGGAGGATAAGACATAATAGCGTGATCCTCCCAGGTGGTCCTCCCAGGTTGTCCTCCCAGGTGGTCCTCCCAGGTTGTCCTCCCAAGTGGTCCTCCCAGTTTTGAGAATGTACGGTTAGCTACACTTATGTTATGTCTGACTGACTGGTGTGAGTACTGTGTGCTCACATGGAGAGTGACTGGTGTGAGCGCTGTGTGCTCACATGGAGAGTGACTGGTGTGAGCGCTGTGTGCTCACATGGAGAGTGGCTGGTGTGAGCGCTGTGTGCTCACATGGAGAGTGACTGGTGTGAGCGCTGTGTGCTCACATGGAGAGTGACTGGTGTGAGCGCTGTGTGCTCACATGGAGAGTGACTGGTGTGAGCGCTGTGTGCTCACATGGAGAGTGACTGGTGTGAGCGCTGTGTGCTCACATGGAGAGTGACTGGTGTGAGCGCTGTGTGCTCACATGGAGAGTGACTGGTGTGAGCGCTGTGTGCTCACATGGAGAGTGGCTGGTGTGAGCGCTGTGTGCTCACGTAGAGAGTGAAGTGTATAGTTAGAGTCCTCTGCTGGTCAAAGATAAAAATTGTATGTATGTGTGTGTGTATAGTTCTGGTCAAAGCATTATGCCGCCCCTCCCCCCCACACGTATCAAAACACAAACACATACCATGAAAGATTATATGTACTTTTGCACACTTATTGAGGTTTAATACTTGGTGCTGCGTCCTTTACGCTTAATCACGTCCCTCAGCCGTGTAGGAAGACTCTCACACAAATTCATGAGAGTTTGGGGAGGTATATTATTCGATGACTCATGTTGAGCAGCCTCCAGCCGCAGGATGGAACTGATATCCTGGTCCAGCAAACTTCGTTTTACTATTGACAGAGGTTCTCAATAGGGTTTAGGTCTGGGAAATTGCCTGGCCAGTCATTAAAGAATCTCACATCACAGTCCTTAAGCCACTGAACTACAGATTTGGCGTTATGACACAGTGCACCGTCCAGCATAAAAGCCGTAGCCCCGCACTCATCAAACACCTCAGGTAAATTGTCACACAATAACTCAGGTAATTATACTGGTTCATATACTGATTTTTGGAAAGCACAATGAGTTCAACACTCTGAGCACTGAAACACCCCCAAACCATGAGTGAGTCTTGGTGTTTGGTGGTCCCACAGGTGTAGCGTGGGTCTAGCTGGTCACTACTTCTGGGCCGGTACACATGTCCCCCATGATTACAGGTAACAGGGAAGGTTGCTTCATTACTCTAAAGTACTTCAGACCACTGTTGAGGATTCCAGTGATATCTCTGCATATAATCCAGTCTACGTTTCTTCTGTGGCTTGGAAAGGATCGGTTTCTTAACCTGGTGGTGACTACTGTAGCCCAGTTCTGACACATGTCTGTTAACAGTTCTTACAGTTCTTTAGCGGCTATCTTAGGTGTACTCTCTAACTGCTGCTTTAACACAGTTAAGATACGAACAGATGTCTTCTTCAAGGGACCAGGCCGAGGTTTGACAGATGGAGACTCAACACCGCCACCAGCCTTGAAACGCTGCACTCAGTTCCTCACTGAACGCTCACACGCACCAACATTCTCCACTATTTCTTTCGTCTGGTGCCCAGCTTTGTGAAGTCCAATGTTTTGTGCTTTAGTTTCAGGTGTTAAAGACGTCCTTTTACCCATAATCAAACATGTATAACCCCAAAACCAAAGGGAACATCAGACAAAAGATGGGGCGGAAGAGAGACAAAAATGCAACACTTCCTCTCACCAGGTCAGCCACGTGAGCACTGAGGAGTCACTGTGGAGTGTGGCGGCAGGCCGTGATGTCATGCTAATGGCTGTTACCCGGCATAATGCACTGACGAAAAAAGACCTTGTATCGTAGGCCTTCGATTTTTGTCACGGTATTATGCCGGAGCGCTCACCCGATGTAATGCCGTGACTAGCACTGTATATGTCATGCTGAATAGGTAAAACTTGCGATTTTGGCTTACATATCAACACTGTTCTTGCCGAATAAAGGAGCGAAAATTATTGTATGTAATAATTTCGCAAAAATCATTCTGAACCTAATGAAAAAAATATATATCATCGGGTATGTTTATTATCAAATTACTGTATACTTATCTAAAATATATTTAGTTGGATTAGGCTATATTAAATTGCGCTTGTTATAATAAGAGTGGGTAAGTTTTCTAAGGTTCTTTTGGTATAAAATTATTAATTTTTACATTAACATAAATGAAAAAATATATATCTTTAAACATATAAGAGAAATTTTTAGAAAAGACTTAATTTTAAATGAGTTAGTGTTATTGACCAATTTTGCCTATTCGACACGACATATATATAATCTATTTACTGCACTTTTCTCTAATTTTCATTCACGTATTTTGTTTGTTTCTATTCTGATAGTTTTATTTTTTTTTTCTCTCAGACACTGGTTTCAGTTTGCCAAATATATATTTTTTTTTTTTTTGGGTACTCATTTTTTGGGAATTTTAATTATTATATGTTTTTATTGGTTCCCATGTTCTAATTTCAGCCGTTATGGTATGTCATTATTTTCTATCTTTTTAACTGTTTCTTCATTATTATTCTCCGTTGTTTCCAGTTCCCTGTCTGTTATCTCACGTATTTCCTTCTCACTGACGTTGTCGTCCCGTCTTCTAGCTGGCCTCCCACCACGGACCGTCACACTTGAAGCTTCTCTCCCGACCACGCCTCTTACCACGCCCGCATTCCTTTTATCCGTCCACGCCCCCAGCCTGTCCACACCTTCACCCGCCCACATCCTCTGCCCCACCCACACCCTCATCTCGCCCACATCTCCCGCCCACACCCTCTGCCCCACCCACACCCTCACCTCACCCACACCTTCTCCCGCCCACGCCCTCTGCCACGCCCACACCCTCATCTCACCCACACCTTCACCCGCCCACATCCTCTGCCCCACCCACACCCTCATCTCACCCACACCTTCTCCCGCCCACATCCTCTGCCCCACCCACACCCTCATCTCGCCCACACCTTCTCTCGCCCACGCAGTCTGCCACACCCACACCCTCATCTCGCCCACACCTCCCGCCCACGCAGTCTGCCACACCCACACCCTCATCTCACCCACACCTCCCGCCCACATCCTCTGCCCCACCCACACCCTCATCTCGTCCACACCTCCCGCCCATATCCTCTGCCCCACCCACACCCTCATCTCGTCCACACCTCCCGCCCACATCCTCTGCCCCACCCACACCCTCATCTCGTCCACACCTCCCGCCCACATCCTCTGCCCCACCCACACCCTCATCTCGTCCACACCTCCCGCCCACATCCTCTGCCCCACCCACACCCTCATCTCGTCCACACCTCCCGCCCACATCCTCTGCCCCACTCACACCCTCATCTCGTCCACACCTCCCGCCCACATCCTCTGCCCCACCCACCCCCTCATCTCGTCCACACCTCCCGCCCACATCCTCTGCCCCACCAACACCCTCATCTCGTCCACACCTCCCGCCCACATCCTCTACCCCACCCACACCCTCATCTAGTCCACACCTCCCGCCCACGTCCTCTGCCCCACCCACAACCTCATCTCGTCCACACCTCCCGCCCACATCCTCTGCCCCACCCACAACCTCATCTCGTCCACACCTCCCGCCCACATCCTCTGCCCCACCCTCAACCTCATCTCGTCCACACCTCCCGCCCACATCCTCTGCCCCACGCACACCCTCATCCCGCCCACACCTCCCGCCCACATCCTCTGCCCCACCCACACCCTCATCCCGCCCACAACTTCCTCAACTCACGGGCTGATAGTTTTCTTAGCATAATAATTTACTTATGGACATAACTGGCTAAGGTAACTCTCATGTCGATGTTTTGAATATAACTCTCTTGTTGATGTTTCGACCGCTTGATTAGTTTACTGATTATTTTGTTCACCTCACCTACTGACACTTCTTCTTGCTGTTGCTGTTACCGTTGTTGCTGTTGATACACTGTTCACCGGCGCCGTTGCCGACCCTGGGTCTGACATGTCGCGCTGCTGCTGACGACAGTAGTGACGGCAGGTTGAGGTACCAGCTGCTGCTGACGACAGTAGTGACGGCAGGTTGAGGTACCAGCTGCTGCTGACTACAGTAGTGACGGCAGGTTGACGTACCAGCTGCTGCTGACGACAGTAGTGACGGCAGGTTGAGGTACCAGCTGCTGCTGACGACAGTAGTGACGGCAGGTTGAGGTACCAGCTGCTGCTGACGACAGTAGTGACGGCAGGTTGAGGTACCAGCTGCTGCTGACTACAGTAGTGACGGCAGGTTGACGTACCAGCTGCTGCTGACTACAGTAGTGACGGCAGGTTGACGTACCAGCTGCTGCTGACGACAGTAGTGACGGCAGGTTGAGGTACCAGCTGCTGCTGACTACAGTAGTGACGGCAGGTTGACGTACCAGCTGCTGCTGACGACAGTAGTGACGGCAGGTTAAGGTACCAGCTGCTGCTGACTACAGTAGTGACGGCAGGTTGACGTATCAGCTGCTGCTGACTACAGTAGTGATGGCAGGTTGAGGTACCAGCTGCTGCTGACTACAGTAGTGACGGCAGGTTGACGTACCAGCTGCTGCTGACGACAGTAGTGACGGCAGGTTGACGGTACCAGCTGCTGCTGACTACAGTAGTGACGGCAGGTTGACGTACCAGCTGCTGCTGACTACAGTAGTGACGGCAGGTTGACGTACCAGCTGCTGCTGACGACAGTAGTGACGGCAGGTTGAGGTACCAGCTGCTGCTGACTACATTAGTGACGGCAGGTTGACGTACCAGCTGCTGCTGACTACAGTAGTGATGGCAGGTTGAGGTACCAGCTGCTGCTGACGACAGTAGTGACGGCAGGTTGAGGTACCAGCTGCTGTTGACTACAGTAGTGACGGCAGGTTGACGTACCAGCTGCTGCTGACGACAGTAGTGACGGCAGGTTGACGTACCAGCTGCTGCTGACACAGTAGTGACGGCAGGTTGAGGTACCAGCTGCTGCTGACTACAGTAGTGACGGCAGGTTGACGTACCAGCTGCTGCTGACGACAGTAGTGACGGCAGGTTGACGTACCAGCTGCTGCTGACTACAGTAGTGACGGCAGGTTGACGTACCAGCTGCTGCTGACTACAGTAGTGACGGCAGGTTGACGTACCAGCTGCTGCTGACGACAGTAGTGACGGCAGGTTGAGGTACCAGCTGCTGCTGACTACAGTAGTGACGGCAGGTTGGCGTACCAGCTGCTGCTGACTACAGTAGTGATGGCAGGTTGAGGTACCAGCTGCTGCTGACTACAGTAGTGACGGGAGGTTGACGTACCAGCTGCTGCTGACGACAGTAGTGACGGCAGGTTGAGGTACCAGCTGCTGCTGACTACAGTAGTGACGGCAGGCTGACGTACCAGCTGCTGCTGACTACAGTAGTGACGGCAGGTTGAGGTACCAGCTGCTGCTGACTACAGTAGTGACGGCAGGTTGACGTACCAGCTGCTGCTGACGACAGTAGTGACGGCAGGTTGAGGTACCAGCTGCTGCTGACTACAGTAGTGACGGCAGGTTGAGGTACCAGCTGCTGCTGACGACGTAGTGACGGCAGGTTGAGGTACCAGCTGCTGCTGACGACAGTAGTGACGGCAGGTTGAGGTACCAGCTGCTGCTGACGACAGTAGTGACGGCAGTTGAGGTACCAGCTGCTGCTGACTACAGTAGTGACGGCAGGTTGAGGTACCAGCTGCTGCTGACGACAGTAGTGACGGCAGGTTGAGGTACCAGCTGCTGCTGACGACAGTAGTGACGGCAGGTTGAGGTACCAGCTGCTGCTGACTACAGTAGTGACGGCAGGTTGAGGTACCAGCTGCTGCTGACGACAGTAGTGACGGCAGGTTGAGGTACCAGCTGCTGCTGACGACAGTAGTGACGGCAGGTTGAGGTACCAGCTGCTGCTGACTACAGTAGTGACGGCAGGTTGAGGTACCAGCTGCTGCTGACGACAGTAGTGACGGCAGGTTGAGGTACCAGCTGCTGCTGACGACAGTAGTGACGGCAGGTTGAGGTACCAGCTGCTGCTGACGACAGTAGTGACGGCAGGTTGAGGTACCAGCTGCTGCTGACGACAGTAGTGACGGCAGGTTGAGGTACCAGCTGCTGCTGACTACAGTAGTGATGGCAGGTTGAGGTACCAGCTGCTGCTGACTACAGTAGTGACGGCAGGTTGAGGTACCAGCTGCTGCTGAGTACAGTAGTGACGGCAGGTTGAGGTACCAGCTGCTGCTGACTACAGTAGTGACGGCAGGTTGAGGTACCAGCTGCTGCTGACTACAGTAGTGACGGCAGGTTGAGGTACCAGCTGCTGCTGACGACAGTAGTGACGGCAGGTTGAGGTACCAGCTGCTGCTGACGACAGTAGTGACGGCAGGTTGAGGTACCAGCTGCTGCTGACTACAGTAGTGACGGCAGGTTGAGGTACCAGCTGCTGCTGACGACAGTAGTGACGGCAGGTTGAGGTACCAGCTGCTGCTGACGACAGTAGTGACGGCAGGTTGAGGTACCAGCTGCTGCTGACGACAGTAGTGACGGCAGGTTGAGGTACCAGCTGCTGCTGACGACAGTAGTGACGGCAGGTTGAGGTACCAGCTGCTGCTGACGACAGTAGTGACGGCAGGTTGAGGTACCAGCTGCTGCTGACGACAGTAGTGACGGCAGGTTGAGGTACCAGCTGCTGCTGACGACAGTAGTGACGGCAGGTTGAGGTACCAGCTGCTGCTGACGACAGTAGTGACGGCAGGTTGAGGTACCAGCTGCTGCTGACGACAGTAGTGACGGCAGGTTGAGGTACCAGCTGCTGCTGACGACAGTAGTGACGGCAGGTTGAGGTACCAGCTGCTGCTGACGACAGTAGTGACGGCAGGTTGAGGTACCAGCTGCTGCTGACGACAGTAGTGACGGCAGATTGAGGTACCAGCTGCTGCTGACGACAGTAGTGACGGCAGGTTGAGGTACCAGCTGCTGCTGACGACAGTAGTGACGGCAGGTTGAGGTACCAGCTGCTGCTGACGACAGTAGTGACGGCAGGGTTGAGGTACCAGCTGCTGCTGACGACAGTAGTGACGGCAGGTTGAGGTACCAGCTGCTGCTGACGACAGTAGTGACGGCAGGTTGAGGTACCAGCTGCTGCTGACGACAGTAGTGACGGCAGGTTGAGGTACCAGCTGCTGCTGACGACAGTAGTGACGGCAGGTTGAGGTACCAGCTGCTGCTGACGACAGTAGTGACGGCAGGTTGAGGTACCAGCTGCTGCTGACTACAGTAGTGACGGCAGGTTGAGGTACCAGCTGCTGCTGACTACAGTAGTGACGGCAGGTTGAGGTACCAGCTGCTGCTGACTACAGTAGTGACGGCAGGTTGAGGTACCAGCTGCTGCTGACTACAGTAGTGACGGCAGGTTGACGTACAGCTGCTGCTGACTACAGTAGTGACGGCAGGTTGAGGTACCAGCTGCTGCTGACGACAGTAGTGACGGCAGGTTGAGGTACCAGCTGCTGCTGACGACAGTAGTGACGGCAGGTTGAGGTACCAAACTGCTGCTGACGACAGTAGTGACGGCAGGTTGAGGTACCAGCTGCTGCTGACGACAGTAGTGACGGCAGGTTGATGGTACCAGGCGCTCCTACAGTGAGTGACCGCACGTTTTGTACCGTTCTCACGTTACCAGGTGAGTCCCGCGTGTGACCCCGTGGGAGGCTGTGTCAGCCTCTGACGAGGAGAAACCTCCTATTCAAGCGAGAGCCCCGTCCAACGTTTTCCTCGTTCACTCGTTCTCACGTTTACTCTCCCCCAGTGCTGACTCCCCCCCCGTGCTGACTCCCCCCGTGCTGACTCCTCCCAGTGTTACTTTCCCCCGTGCTGACTCCTCCCAATTCTGACTCCTCCCAGTGCTGACTCCCCCCCGTGCTGATCTCCCCCGTGCTGACTCCCCCCGTGCTGACTCCCCCACGCTGACTATTCCCCGTGCTGACTCCCTCCCAGTGTTGACTCCCCCGTGCTGACTCCTCCCAGTGCTGACTCCCCCTCCCGTGCTGACTCCTCCCAGTGCTGACTCCCCCCGTGCTGACTCCCCCGTGCTGACTCCTCCCAATGCTGATTCCTCTCAGTGCTGACTCCCACCTCCCGTGCTGACTCCTCCCAGTGCTCACTCCCCACCCGTGCTGACTTCCCCCCGTGCTGACTCCTCCCAATGCTGACTCCTCCCAGTGCTGACTCCCACCTCCCGTGCTGAGTCCTCCCAGTGCTGACTCCCCCCGTGCTGACTCCCCCGTGCTGACTCTCCTCCAATGCTGACTCCTCCCAGTGCTGACTCCACCTCCCGTGCTGTCTCCTCCAGTGCTGACTCCCCCCATGCTGACTCCCCCCGTGCTGACTCCTCCCAATGCTGACTCCTCCCAGTGCTGACTCCTCCCAGTGCTGACTCCCCCCGTGCTGACTCCCTCAGTGCTGACTCCGCCCTCTCAGTGCTAACTCCGCGCTCTCAGTGCTGACTCCCCAGTGCTGACTCCCCCAGTGCTGACTCCGCCCTCTCAGTTCTGACTCTGCCCTCTCAGTGCTGACTCCGCCCTCTCAGTGCTAACTCCGCCCTCTCAGTGCTGACTCCGCCCTCTCAGTGCTAACTCCGCCCTCTCAGTGCTGACTCCGCCCTCTCAGTGCTAACTCCGCTCTCTCAGTGCTAACTCCGCCCTCTCAGTGCTGACTCCGCCCTCTCAGTGCTAACTCCGCCCTCTCAGTGCTAACTCTGCCCTCTCAGTGCTAACTCCGCCCTCTCAGTGCTAACTCTGCCCTCTCAGTGCTAACTCCGCCCTCTCAGTGCTGACTCCGCCCTCTCAGTGCTAACTCCGCCCTCTCAGTGCTGACTCCGCCCTCTCAGTGCTAACTCCGCTCTCTCAGTGCTAACTCCGCCCTCTCAGTGCTGACTCCGCCCTCTCAGTGCTAACTCCGCCCTCTCAGTGCTAACTCTGCCCTCTCAGTGCTAACTCCGCCCTCTCAGTGCTG